TAGATTTTTTGATTCAACTTCAGGATCTGTAAGAACACACGCATCAATCTCCCTTTTGATTTCCTACTCATGAATTGATGCCCCTGAAGGCTTCTCAAGTTTGTCATGTACTTTAAAGTTTCTGTTCTTGTGATACCTTTGTTCTCTCTTCCTGGCAGATACGAATAGACGGGCAAGATATTCGGGAAGTCACACTGGAGAGTCTTCGGAAGTCTCTTGGTGTTGTGCCACAGGATACGGTTAGCCACCTGATACTCTATTCTCTGTCAACGCTTTAATTTATCCTACTTCTTTTGTCCTCTTACAGAATCTACTAATTTGTACTGCAGTATCAAAATGCATTCCTATACGATTTACTTTTGAAATGGATTTTTTTTGCATCTTTTAAGTTCTGTTTTAGAAAGCCAAGTTTCCATGTAAAACCATCGTACAAAAGAATAGCTTTTGCGGCACATCAGCTTCCGCAGTCCCCACCACATCTGCTTCTGTTGAAGCCACAACCCACAGACAGGGCCTAAGAACTTCTGCTAGCTATCATTGTTGTATAATGCATATTTCCTCATTATCTATTTGGAACCAAATATGAATCCTTTTTTTTATTGAAATACAAATTGAAGTATCACTACATGTGGGATAGGGAATCTATTTAACACATGCGGAGGGCCAATGGACAATTGAGAACTGAGCCATGGTCCAGTAGTAACTTGTAAGGACTTGCTGGTGTGTTCTTGCCTACTAGGGTCCTACTCCTTTCAATAGCGAATTATGGTATCTCATGGTTATTTCGACCTAAATTAGAACTGCATCGGGTTCATCCCTTGTTGGATATCGACAGGGCTTCAGCATTGTTGGACTAGTTTAAAAGGTTCCAATAGATAATTGAAAAGATATGGTGCTGCTGTATGCAAACTTTGTTCAGCGTCATAAAATCTTGGGATAGACTGGATTTGTTTTTTCTTTTGGGAATCAGGTCAATCCATTTTGTCTCCAGACTTACACCATTAATACCATTACAGGTACTTTTCAATGACACAATTAAGCATAATATACAATATGGGCTGTTATCAGCGAATGATGAAGAGGTAAAATGTTCTTTCAATCAATATGGGAGAGTTATAGCATGGTCTAATTTTTTTTGTGAAGCTAATGTATTCTTTTCCAATTTTTCATACAGGTTTACGATGCTGCTCGGCGTGCCTCTATCCATGATACAATTATGAACTTTCCTGACAAGTATGACACGGTTGTGGGAGAGCGTGGATTGAAGGTAAGACATGGCCTCGTTTTGTGCGGAATCACGAAATGTCGTAACCTTTTGTTCTATGACAACAGCTCAGCATATCTCAAGAATTGTGGTTTGGCTGTTTTTGCAGTTAAGTGGTGGTGAGAAACAACGAGTCTCAATTGCTCGTGTATTCTTGAAGGAGCCTTCCATTCTGTGAGTTTCTCTCATACATTTTCTGTGGAATACGCACCTAAAGTGCACATCATTTTGTATTAGTACTTACAGCAAAAAACTAGAAGAAAAAAATGAGAACAAAAGAAACAAATGCGCTGTACAGCTAAACTACTCAAAAACCATCTGGTGGGCAAGCATGTTGTGGCTGCCTCCTCAGCGCCTTTGCACCTGCGATCATCCAGAGTATTGCCTCCAGGAGTATCGTGTCCACCGGTGTCTGCACCTCTGGTTGCGCTGTCAAAGAAGTGGTCATTTCGAAGTCGCCAGATGCGCCACATCATTAGAGAGATTAGGCAACATGATCCCTTAACTTACCAACCCTGGCGCAATCTGCAGCATGGTCCAGCCGGGGCACCTGCTCATCGCCTGCCTGAGGCCATCTGAATTGTAGAGAGAACTGTCTGCCATCCTACACTCGTTCGAAGAAGTCGTCAGTGAGGATGTGTCATGTGTGACATGGCCTCGGCTGTCTGGTCGCACAGAGGGCAGGCAGGCGGTAGTTCTCTGCTCCAGTCTTTCTGCCATCCTACACCTATTCTCCATCGCTAACCACATGAACACGTTGCACTTGAGGGGAGCCCAGCCCTCAGACGGCACGCCACATAGGAGACTCGGCCGTACTTATCTACACATTGAAAGCACAGTCCATTCGCACGCCGAAAATCTCGCAACTGATGACCG